ACAGATGAAGGATTACTAAATTTAACATTTAAAAAAAATCCTAAATAGTAGTGAACCACTCAATAGAAAAAAAGACTAATAAAAACGAACCAGCAAGTAAAAAAGCAATAAGCATATGTAAATATGTTCAACCTAACTAGAAATTAAAGAAATGTAAGTTAATTTAGCAATGTTCCATTTCACAGCCTCAGATTGGCAAATATTAAAAGCTGATAGCTTCCAATGCTTCTGAGTATGTGCTGGCAGTGTACCTAGATCACTGTATCCTTTCCAAGAAAAAAAATTGCTAAGTAACAGGTTTTAAAATCTGTTAAAACGTAAATATCACGCATCCTTTGTCCTAGCAATCCCACGTAAAGAATTTATCCTAGTGAAAAATGACATCAATGCACAAGGAATTAAACAGATATAAAAAATGGTTCTTTTTTTCATTGTGTATAATATCAAGAAAGAAAAGACCTTTAAAAAGGGTAGAGGGACTGAGGAGACGATCTGAATGTCAATTACTGGCATAATGTATCATAATTTATGATTCATACACACTTTAGAATGTTATTTAACTACAAGCATAAATCAAGTTTACATGTACTGACCTGTAAAGATGTTTACAGTATTAAACAATATAAAGCAAGCTACAGAATAACATGTATATCATTATCTCATATTTCTATTTTTGAGAAAAAAAAGAAACCTGTATATTAGGTTTCTTAGAAATTCCTATTAATTCCCCGAATGACCAATAAATACACCTTAGTTTTCAATATATTTATTGCTCTATTAGAGGTGTCATCATTAAAATATTGTTGCCAGGTGTGGTGGTGCACACTTGTACTTCCAGCACTCAGGAGCCTGAGGCAGGATTGCAGTGAGTTCAGGGACAGCCTGGGCTACATAGTGAGTTCAAGGCCAGCCTGAATTACATAGCAAGACCCCCATCTCAAAAAAACAAAAAAAACAGGGCCAGGGATTAGCTCAGTGGTTTTGCTGGCTGCTGCGCAAGTGCAAGGACCAGAGTTCGATCCCAAGTACCAAAAAACAAAACAAAACAAAAAATATTACTGTCTAATAACACCCTTAATCAAAGTACACTACAGGCACTATCAGAACATAATCCTTTGGAATGTTCTATGATGGAAAAGAATATGAACTATCAAAATTACTTTTAACAGCAAATGTTCTATAGTTTTGTCTTTTATTTTTGGTTGCCAAAATAAAAATGCTTTTTGTGGGTCGGTGGTATAGGGGATTGAACCCAGGGCCAGCACACTGAGCAACCTCCTCAGCCCTCTTTTTATTATTTAAGACAGAATCTTGCTAAATTACTCAGACTAGGCTCAAAGTTACCACTCTCAGTAACTCAAGGGTGCTAGGATTACAGGCATGTGCCACTATGCTCTGCTTAAAAATATTATTTATTTATTTATTTATTTATTTTTTGGTACCGGGGATCGAACTCGGGTCCTTGCACTTGTGCAGCAGGTAGCGAAACCACTGAGCTAAATCCCCGGCCCTAAAAATATTTTTTAATGTTGCAAATTTTATACTTAAAACAAAGATTTTTTTCCTCTAGTAGCAGAAATAAGCTATTTCAATCATTTCATTGAGAAATGTAATTACGTTCATTATATGGCTATAAACAAGGGGCAGGCATTATGCTAAACCAATTTCATTGTATCAGAAATTGAATTTTCTCAATAATATTCATTCTTAGCAATAAACTCATTGATATTGCAATTTTAAAATTCTATTCAAACAGCTAAAGTCAGTATAATGTCAATAAGGTCTCACCCAGCCTGGTATAATTAAAGGAGCACTTAATTTGATATCAGATACATCTGAGTTCCAATTCTGGCTGTCACTTCCTAATGATGTGGTCTTAGGCAAATTATATAACCTCCAAGTTTGTTCCTGCATCTGAAAAATAACTCTGTGGTGTTCTAGGGACAGATGAAGAGTTTGACTATCAAAATATGCCACCTTCTGACTTTCGTAAGGGTCAGACTGGTAACTGGCAGTGTCTTTTAGTACTGCTTTTTACAAGACAGAAACAAAAAAGGAAATGGAAAAAAGAGAGGAAAGCTGAGCGCTGTGGAGCACACCTGTAGGTAGCTACTCCGGATGCTGCAGCAGGAAGACTGCTTGAGTGCAGCGGTTTAGGCACATCCTGGATAACAGTATGAACCTAAGTCTCTAAAGAATAGAAAAAAAAAATCAAAAGACTTCTGAGCTGATATACATAAAAGTTATGTTTTATTTTCCATATTTTTGCATTTCCAAACAAAAAATATGTTAAGTATTCTCTATTTGAGGCTCCTTTTCCTGGAATATTTTTCAGATTTCTTTTTTTATATATTCACTGTTTCTAGTGCAATTATTTGATGCATTCTTAACTATTTCTGACGGATTTTTCTCAGAAAATTATGAGAATGTATGTTATATCTCACCTGTGGCATTCTACATCTTCAGACAACTTTCTCTATAAAATCATTCAGACTGTATCTATGGAAACCACTTTCAAGTATTACAGGGAAAAAAAAAATCAAAACTTCAAGTCATTTTAATCCACTGTAATATGTCTAATAAGTTAACTCCAAAGAATACCAAATAGTGAGATTATTAATGAGACCAAAATATGATTGTGAATGCTCCCTAAGTGGATCCAAATAAAAAGTATATTGTTAAAACTTCAATATTTAAATAACATTTTTTCATCATACAAGACGTTAACACAATTATAAATTATAAAATTATAAATACAGTAAACTGAATGCTCTTCTGGAATTGAGAACTGAGAGTATCACCAGCTTCTCTTTCAAATTTAATTGTACTTCAATCCGATTTTTTGATGCTCTTTGATACATTTCTCTTTAAAGTGCCTTCAAGATTTTTTGCAAAGTATACCAAAATTGGAAATAGCTACGTGTAAAATTACAATTACGTTTGTCACATTTTTCCTAAAAATTAATCCCTATCCCCAGTAGCATCTAGCTTTCCACAGTTACTCCTCAGTTTAAATTATACTGCTGAAGGTACTTTTTTGCTTGCTTTTCTAATGGTGTTTAAGGTGACGGTAAAGTTAAAGTATGTGCAAAAAAATACTTCACCTTACTTTTATATATTCAGTTACAACCTCTCAAGCTAACTTTTAAGCAGCATGCATATTTTTAAATCAAAATTTATCACTGTGATTCTTTAAAACTCCCTCTCCAACCTGAGCTCTTTCAAATCCTAAAGTTATCTACTAATCTGAAAGTACCTATTATCTGTGCTTCCTTCTGGTCTTTCACAATTTCACACTCCAATTCTGTATTTCAGACCCCTTCATTCATTAAAATACTGCTAACCGTGTAAAGGAACTTTATAGTTAAATTTGCGCAGAATCTTACTTTTCCTTTATTAAACATCAACTTCACCGTAATTTCCTTTCAGAGTTTCCTTGCCTTCTAAATCTACATCAACACTGCCGCGAAGCAACAAATACACACAACCCTACTGTAACGCCCAAATTAATCAGTTTGGCGCGCTATTAAAGAATTTAAATCTCCAGATGCCTCGTTTCGGCAACCCGTTAAAGCTCTCTACGCACTAGTTTTCTCGTCCTACCTGGCCAGCCTCCCTCGACTGCCAACTGGAAGGTCTCCTGCTGCCACTGGCCAGAACACGAGCCACTACGGCGCGTTTCTTTCACAGCCCACCCTTCCTGGGGTCTCCTCCTATTCCTGCGCATCTAACCCTCCGAGAACCTGGCCTCCACCACCACCCCCAAAGGATCCTGTACCCAGGTCCCCACTTCTCGAGCGAGAATGCCCCTCGCCGGACCCTGCTGGGCCGCGCTTTCCGATCTCCTCCCGGCCGAGTCCGTCCAGCGCGCTCCCTCTGCCCGGAACGCCTACTTCGGGGCGACCCTTGGGCTCCGGGAAGCCCAGCCTGGCAACCTCTGCCCCGCGACCTCGCGAGCCCAGTGCACCACGCAAGCTCAGCTCAACCCATTCCCGGAGCTCGCGCCCTCCACGCCCCCCAGCCCGACTCTCCGGGAAACCCCCCAGCCCCGAGGCGAACCCAGCCCGACAAACGCCCGGCCCTGCCGCCACCGCTCAGCCCTCGGCGGCTCGGCTCCTTACCCAGCTTCGACAGGGACTCCTCCAGCTTCTGGACCTGGTTCAGCAGCAAGAGCATCGCCACCGCAAAAGCCACCACCGCCAGCAGCTGCAACTTGGGCGGCATCATAATCCTAAGGAGCCCCATGAAACCCGCCGCTCGGGATCAAGACATACCGCGGGGGGCGGGGAGCGGGGCCCCGGAGGCTAGGGAGACGCCAGGAGGAGCCCACCGGGCCTGAGAGCGGCGCGGAGAGCGCGGCTGGGAGGACGCTCCGCAGCGACCCCCTTCTCGCCGCTCCGGTCCCCCACCCCCAGGCAGCAGCGCCAGCGCCGCCGGTGCCGCTTCCCCTCAGCCGGCTGAGCGGCCGCCCCTCCAGAAGCCCGCGCAGCAACAGCGCGGAGCGGCGGCCGGGTTCTCGCCTGCCTCTGCTGCTTGAGTTCCCGACCTCCGCGCCCGCCAGCCTGCCTGCTTCCCTCTTCCTCCTTTCCCTCCCTCCAGGCTCTCGGCCGCGCGCTCCTCCACCAGCGTTGCAGCTGCGGCTGCGCCGCCCTCGGTCCCGCCCCCTCCTATCCTCGCCCATCCCCCTCCGCCACCACGCGCACGCATTTACGTACGCTGCTCGGCAACCAAGGGCTCCACCCACTCATTGTGCTCATTGGCTGTTCGGCTGTGCTCATTGGCCGTTCGGCTGTGCTCATTGGCCGGAATGAACCCCGGCGTTCGCTCACGGTTCGGTTTACGGTTGGGTTCTTCTGCCACGGGTTTAAGCAAAGCGGCATGCGATTGGATAATGTAGAGGAGGAGGCAGGGCTGAAACTGCTGAAACTGGAGAAGGCGGGGCTTCTTGGCTGAGGGATGAAAAGTCGTGATTGGAAGGAAGAAGCCCTCAGAAGAACAGAAATAGGGAGTTTAAGAAAGTGCCTGATTTGGGAAATTAAAAAGCACCTGGCGACTGTCTTTATATTTGATCATCTTTAAGTTTCATATGCCCTTAGTTAATGTTCATCTTTTCAGAATAAGAAATTTGATAGCAATGGCCTTTTGTGGCCAGTATCGGATCAGGCTCTAGAGTGGACGCCCCCGCGGAGGGGGGTCCTCTGATAGGCCGGGGATTTACAGTAGTGGGTAGCGATGGCGGCAGGGTCGGGGGCATGGTTCGGGCCGGCGTTTGGCCTGCGGTTGCTGTTGGCGAGTGTGCTTCACGCGGTAAGTACGTATTACCTCTGCGGATGGCTTGACTTGGGTAGGAGGAGTTGCAGGTGAGGAAAACGGAACATTAGTTCGTGTTTGGGAGCCTCACTTGAAAAGGCTGGGAGGAACGGGTTTCCTTAGTGGCTGCGGCCGGAATGTGACGTGTCTTAATGCTGGACGACTTGTAAATTACATGAGGAAGAGAGCAGTAAAGCTTGGAAAGGAGTAAGGGTGTTTCTAAGAGAACAGAAATGCAAGGAAGTATTGTTGCTTATGATAGGGCTCCCAGGTCTTAGGAGGAAAACGTTCAAAACTTTAACCCAGACGATAATTTCTATTTACCCTTTCTCACTCTCCTACACACACATACACACACACACACCAGTGTAACCAAGTTGTTGGTTTTTTTAAATTTCGGGTTTTTTCCATTGACAAAGTACATGGGTTGTTAATCTTTGAAACAGGAAAACCTAATTTTAACTTACTTTCCTACCTGTGAAACAAGTAGACATTGATTGACCCCTCCGAAGAATTGCAATTCATGTTTTGCTATGAATAGGCACCGTTTGGGAGCTTGTACATTTCCTGTTTCAGCTTAATTGCTCTCTACTGTGGCTGCTGAAAAGTTTTGTTCTAGGAAACCTGCTTTAATTGATTTATCTAAGGCTTTTTGGGGGGGAGTAGGGACTATACAGGTCTCTATAAACACGTCTGCTTTCTCTTTCATCACGGAGTTTAAAAGCATCCTCGCCTTTCCTACTTTGCCCCAAAGGTGGATTCTTTGATTCTCTAACGGTCCAATACAAACTGTTATTCAGACAGTTGGTGATTTAGGAATTACTGGAACATTCTTCCCTGAACTTTCTTCTCAAAGAGGTTCTTTCTTCTCCCATTTGAATTTGGTTTCATCCTCACCACAAGAGGATAGCATGAAACATTTCAAGCTGCCTTCTCCGAATTTCACTCTATTTTAACTTCCAGTTGCCTTTGACGGTGTAACCACTCCCCAGAATTTAGTGGCTTAATACAACCATTGCACATAATTTTGTGAGTCAGTAGAGCAGTTCTTCTGTTAATTTCCTCTGGCCTCATTTGTGCACTGCTTTGAGCTAGTAGTTCAACTAAACCAAAAAGTGCAAGGTCACCATCATTCATAGTGGTGCTATCAGCTGTGACCTCTCATCCTCTTTAGGCTAGACCAACTTCTTTTCCAGACAGTCTCAGGACAGTGCTTCAAAGAGCAAAACCTTAAAATCCCTCCTTAAGGTCTTGCCTTGGGAATCACGTATATCACTTACACCACATAATTCTTGGCAAAGCAAGTCGCAAGACCAGACCACCTTTCAGAGGTAGGGAAATACATTCCATCTTTATATAGGAGGAATGACAGAGTCACATAGCAAAGTATGCAGATCAGGACAGGAGGTATTCATGGCCCTTAATGTACCATAGTGACCATCTCAATCCATGCGAGAAACTTGGTATCATCCTTTGTCGCTTTCTTTTCCTTGCAAATCTCACATTCAGGCAATTGCCAAATCACTGATTTTGCTTCCTAAATATCTCTGAAATCAGTCCACTTACTATTAATTCTTCGGTCAGGCCACAGACTTTTTTCCTTAGCTAAGTGGTTGGCTTTGCCAGCTTCCTAGTTGCCCAAACCAGAAATTGTGTGTGCGTGTGTGTGTGTGTGTGTGTGTGTTTTATTGGAGATGGAACCCAGGGCCTTTGCACTGAGCTACATCCCCATCCCTTTTTTTATTTTGAGACAGGTTAAGCTTACAGACATCTACCACCAGAAATTGGTCCTTTTAACACTCAGTCTAAATAGTCATTAAGCTCTTAAAAGTGTCCAAGCCAGTTCACTTAATTCTGTTTCTCCAGATAGCACTTAAATTCAGGTCACTATATTTTCCTGTAATTAATTTCCTTAAATTGTGTCCCCATCTGATTTTCTCCCTTTCTAATTGAGTCTCTATAGAACATTCAGAGTGATCTTTCTAAAACAGAACTATCATGATTAAAACTCTCCACTAGCTCCCCCTTGCTTTTTAGGTAGAGTCTGTCATCCTTAATTTTTCTTAATAAGGCCTTGTTTGTCCATCCAGGCTTATTCTTGAGCAGTTACCTCTACTGGGAAGGCAAAAAAGTAGAGGTGGAGAATTGGGTTCACTTGTTTTCATATGCATACTAGATTCCCTCACACCAGGCTTTCGTGGTGTTTCCCTTACCTAGCAGCTGCTTGCCAGCTTCCCATCCCCTCCTCCCTTTCTTCTAACAAAGCATGGCTTATCTTCTACTTACTACTCCCTAACACTTCAGCTTTTGGCTAAGAAACTAATTCCTCCAGGAAAGCTTCTCTGAACCCCAAGTGTAGATTAAGGATTTTTCACTGTTCCAGTAGTGATCAGTACTTATTTTCTCATGTTAGTTTTCACAATTTTCTATTTTAATTTCTTGATATTTGGCATTCTCCCACTGCTTTCATGGAGTCCCTCCCTCTATAAGTACCAACTCACTGTTCCTGATCATTATTTTATCATATGTAATATACGTATAGAGTAATATAATACCTGACATCTAAGTAAAATATCTGTTGAATGAATTAGGGAGTTCTAAAATTCTGAAAACATGGAACTTTGAAGTCTACTTATAAACTTATCAATCATATATTCCATATAATTGGTTTCATATAGTTCTAGTGTCAGTAGTTCCGTCTGGAGACCTGTGTAAGAATTTTGGTGGGAGAGGAAGTTAAAATATGATGCTTAGACTCTACTTTCGATCTCACTTAAAAGTTATCTGGTGACTGGACAACTGTAGCAAGTAAGCACACAATAGACTGAAACCTTTTTAGAGTAGGAATCAACCTACCCATTCTTTGGTTAATGTGACTTCCCCCTAACTTCCATGCAGTAAGTCATCAAATAAAGCTCAAGTTCAGTGATGATGAACCTTTTAGAGCTTTCAGTAATAACAAACAGCCCACTGCAGCCCACATGCCATATGTTCGCCACCACTGCTCTAGTTCATTAGTCACAACACACTATTGCAGGTAAAAATATTCTCAAAGATATCCCTCTTACACAATCTCTCAAACTCTGCCTATTAAATTCATGATGTTATGTAACTTAGAGTAAAAGGAAATCTGTTTCTAGTTTTAACTTTTAAAAACTGACTATAGTCTAAGGCAAATTTTACTCTCCTTACTTTCCACATTTCTTCTCTCAAGTAGTGTTGAGATAGAGTGTAAACTAACTCACACTCTGTTTCCAGACCTGAAAAGTCAGATATAATTTCTCTTCTGCATAGTCTGTCATCAGACTTTATACTGTATTGCACTAATCCATGGTGTGAACCGGATTATAGCTTTATGTTTGTGTCCCTCCATTGCTCCTACTCCCATGCCAATTAGAGTGCAACCAAAAGGAATACAGGGGTCATTTTCCTGTTGTTTGTTTTTTCACTGTACTTCACATGTATCTCTTCCCCTAAATCCCTCTGAGGTGTAAATGGCATCCCAGTTCCTTTGTGTTACTCTGTCCTATCAATGTCACTGAGATATCTGCAGTTTCTTTAGAGTGGTGATGAACCCCACTCGCAACTCAAACTACAAAAATGCCTCAGAAAAGAGAAAATCCTAGAAAAATCACCCTGTTGAACTGTTTCAAGGTTCATAAGGTTTATTTTTCTTTTTTCTGTAATGACTACTGTTTTTACAAAAAGAAGCAAAAACCTGGAAAATGAAAAGGAGTATAGAGAATTGTTGGAAAACAATAAGAAGTTAGAAAAACTGCATTTCACCGTTGACCTATGGGAAAAAAAGACCAAGTGAAGTGATCGGCAGAAGTGAAAATTAGCCAAATCTTTAGAACCTGACATATGGATAAAGAGGAGTGAGAAAACAATTTGTTGACACCTTGAGGTTGAGTTACTATTGTGAATAAAGGATAAAACTGTATCTTTGAGACATATCATAATTTGATAATTTACACTTCAGCCGTTACACTAGACATGCTGCTCATGCTCAATAGCTGGAATTTCAAATTAATGGCAGTACATAGTTATCAGCATTTCAATGTAAGGATCAGGAAAGTAACATTTAGTATAGCCTAAGGAAGCTGTTTACTTAAAGCTCCCTGGAACTAAGTGGTATTCAGTCCTTCCCTCAGACTACATATAACATTTCCTTATTCAAAAAGGCACTGTACTGGGCCGGGGATTTAGCTCAGTGGTTCCACCGCCTGCCTCACATGCCCAAGGACCCGAGTTCGATCCCTGGTACCAAAAAAAAAAAAAAAAGGCACTATAATGAAAATCAATATAGAGTTATATGTGTATCATTGATTCTGAGACATCTCAATCCTACCCCAGTTCTTCATAGGTCAGCATCTCCATGTCTCCATGTCTCCTAAGAAATTAGTGGCACAATTACAATTGTCAGCTTTTTTGTTATTAGTGGTTCGAACAGTAATGGTGTATCATGGATTTTGTGAAATACAGTAGTCAGTAGCAGTAGTTAGGGGTTTGCTTTGTATTCTGGCACTCTAACAGAATATCTGAGGCTGGGTAATATATAAAGAAATGTTTATTTTGGCATACAATTCTAGAAACTGGAAAGTCCTAGACTAACCCACGGCATCTGTGAGAGCCTCAGGCTACTGCAACTCCTGGCAGAAAGCAGAAGTGGAGGTGGCAGCTAACTCATTCCTGTGGGAAAGGCATTAATCTACTTGTGGAGACTCAAATACCTCCCACCAGGCCTCACCTTCCAGGACTGCTATATTGAGGAATTAACCCTTGGCATGAGTTTTGTTGGGGCATACTGTTGAAACTGCAGGGCTTTTGAGGTAGGCCGGGGTTAGAATCTTAATGCTGCTATTGTTTAACTACCCTAAGCCCCAGTTTCCTTCTCTATAAAATGAAGATAATGCCTACTCCATAGAGCGGGTGAGTTTAAATGAAATAATAATGTAAAGTGCTTAGCAAAATATCTGATGCTTGGTAATAGCTTC